GGTGAGGGGGTTTGTTTATGTCGGCACCAGAAACGACACTCTCCATTCGAACCCAGCTTTCCTCGGTACGCTCGGTAGTAAACTTGACTCGTTACCTCTCTGAAGATGAATCAGCGGATACGGAGTTCCAGTTAACGCTACCTGTCCAGCGTCTCCGTAGGATGGCTGTGAATCGTCCGAAGTAGTGACGGTATTCCGTCCGACACGGTTCACCTCACGAGTGGACTCACATGAGTGGAGTCCGTCAGAGTTCCACCCAGATGTGGAAGAAAGTTATAATCCCATAAGACTCGGAAGAGCTCTGTGGTCATGTCAGGATTTTCCTGTTTCCCAGCACGGGAGCTCGACCGCAACCTCGGCTCGACTCAACAGGCACTTCGACCCAACAGGAACTTCGACCCAACAGGAACTGGGAGACTCTGTGAGACTCTGTGAGACTCTGCCTTAAACTAGGAAGTACCGACATTTTAAAGAGCTCTATTTCCGGGTCATCTGGGAGTTTTTGATTGGTCAATGTCGACCAGACAGGGGTGTGTTTTGTGATGTAAGAGGTTACTAGAAGTCAGAAAACAGCAAGAATGTTATGGAACAGATTGAAAATGTTTTTCAGACAGACGAGAGAAATGTTTGGACGGGTTGGCGGAAAACAGCTGCCAACAGGTGCCAGCTTCTCTGTTTACGTCTGAGAGGATTTAAAAACAACACAGCTCGTTCCAACACTTGTCTGCTTAGACTCCGACCTTGGACCAAACGTACACTGCTCATTCAAAGACAGAAAATCAGAAAATGCATAATTACTCTGTAACAGACCTTAACATGAATTCTAACTTTGCATGAGGATTAAAAATAATCATTTAGGGAAATGCTCTTCATCTCCAGCTCCTCTGATCTGTGGGGTCCCTCAAGGGTCTATTTTAGGTCCATTGCTTTTTAATCTTTACATGTTGCCTTTGGGGTCCATTTTTAAAAAACACAACATCCCTTTTCACTGCTTTGCTGATGATACTCAGTTATATCTTCCGATTGAGTCAGACAGGGTCACTTCACTGGATCCACTCTTGAACTGTCTAAATGACATTAAAGTCTGGTTAAAACTAAATTTTCTGAATCTAAATGAAAATAAAACGGAAGTCATCAGCTTTGGTAAATGTAATACCCTTAATGTGCTTGGCCCCTTGGCTTCATACAGCAACTCCAATGTCAGGAATCTGGGAGTTATTTTTGACAGTGCTTTTAAATTTGATAAACAAATAAATACAGTTGTGAAATCCAGTTTCTTCCAGCTAAGACTCATTGCCAAGGTGAAGTCTTGTCTCCCTTTCAGAGACCTTGAAAAGGTGATTCACGCTTTTATCACATCTCGTTTGGACTATTGTAATTCATTGTATGTTGGTTTAGACAAATCATCTTTGCATCGTTTACAATGTGTCCAGAACGCAGCAGCCCGTCTTTTAACAGCAACTAAAAAACATGAACACATAACCCCTGTCCTGGCTTCTCTCCACTGGCTTCCTGTCCACTTCCGAATTGATTTTAAAATTTTATTGCTTGTTTTTAAAGTCTTAAAAGGTCTGGCCCCGTCATATTTATGTGATCTCATTAACATTTACACTCCAGTAAGAGCACTCCGGTCTACCAACCAGTTCCTCTTAGATGTCCCCAGATCCAAACTGAAATCCAGAGGTGATCGGGCTTTTGCGGTTGCTGCTCCAAAACTGTGGAACAGTTTACCTGAGAATTTAAAGACCGCTCAGACTGTTGAGACTTTTAAATCTTTGCTCAAGACTCATCTGTATTCCTTGGCATTTCATCCACGCAGAGTCTGAGAACAAGTTGAGCTGATTTTATTGTTGTTGTGTGTTGTTTTTACTGTTAACTTATGTTTTTGAGTGGCACTAGATGCAGTTTTACTCTTTTTTATTTTATTTTAATCTGTCTTAACTGTAAAGCACTTTGGTCAGCTTTTGTTGTTTTTATGTGCTATATAAATAAATTGACATTGACATTGACATTGACATTGTTACTGTTTTACAGTTAATAAAAATTGATTAGTTCACTGTAACATCTAAAATGTTTGAACTAAAACACTTTGATTATCAAACATTTGTAAAACAGTAATGATAATAGAAAAGAGAGTGTTCTTTCACTTGAATTTTCAAGAAAGAAAGTCTCAGGATGGGTCAACCTGTATTTCTGGATTCAAATCAATGAAATGACAGTTTCTGTCCCACAAGGTCAAGTTTTGACATCAGGTCAAGTTCACTACAATGCTGAACAGATTTTTAAAGCTAAAAATTATTTATTACTAAAGACCATTAGTACCAGTTCAATTGCATTTTGTTTCCCTAATCATTGGGACAACACATGCAGAACTTTATAACACACTCCATGGTGAGTTCAGGTTTCTTCAATCACTCTATGGTGAGTTCAGGTTGCTTCTATCACCATATGGTGAGATCAGGTTGCTTCCATCACTCTATAGTGAGTTCAGGTTACTTCCATCACTCCATGGTGAGTTCAGATTGCTTCCATCACCCAATGGTGAGTTCAGGTTGCTTCCATCACCCCATGGTGAGTTCAGGTTGCTTACATCATCATATGGTGAGTTCAGGTTGCTTCCATCACTCTATGGTGAGTTTAGCTTGCTTTCATCACCCACTGGCAAATTCAGGTTGCTTCCATCACTCTGTGGTGTGTTCAGCTTGCTTCCATCACCCTATGGTGAGTTTCAGTTGCTTCCATCACTCCATGGTGAGTTCAAGTTGCTTCCATCACTGTATGGCAAGTTCAGCTTGCTTCTATCACTTCATGGTGAGTTCAGGTTGCTACCATCACTCCATGGTGAGTTCAGGTTGCTGCCATCACTCCATGGTGAGTTCAGGTTGCTTCCATCACTCCATGGTGATTTCAGGTTGCTGTCATCACTCCATGGTGTGTTCAGGTTGCTTCCATCACTCAATGGTGCATTCAGGTTGCTTCCATCACTCCATGGTGAGTTCAGGTTGCTTTCATCACTCAATGGTGCATTCAGGTTGCTTCCATCACTCCATGGTGAGTTCAAGTTGCTTCTACCACTCCATGGTGTGGTGTGTTCAGGTTGCTTCCATCACTCTGTGGTGAGTTCAGGTTGCTTCCATCACTCCATGGTGAGTTCAAGTTGCTTCCATCACTGTATGGCGAGTTCAGCTTGCTTCCATCACTTCATGGTGAGTTCAGGTTGCTTCCATCACTCCATGGGGAGTTCAGGTTGCTTCTATCACTCCATTGTGAGTTCAGGTTGCTGCTATCACTCTACGGTGTGTTCAGGTTGCTTCCATCACTCAATGGTGCATTCAGGTTGCTTCCATCACTCCATGGTGAGTTCAGGTTGCTTCCATCACACCATGGTGAGTTCAGGTTGCTACCATCACTGTATGGTGCGTTCATGTTGCTTCTATCACTCCATGGTGAGTTCAGGTTGCTTTCATCACTCAATGGTGCGTTCAGGTTGCTTCCATCACTCCATGGTGAGTTCAAGTTGCTTCTACCACTCCATGGTGTGGTGTGTTCAGGTTGCTTCCATCACTCTGAGGTGAGTTCCAGTTGCTTCCATCACTCCATGGTGAGTTCAAGTTGCTTCCATCTCTGTATGGCAAGTTCAGCTTGCTTCCATCAATTCATGGTGAGTTCAGGTTGCTTCTATCACTCCATGGTGAGTTCAGGTTGCTTCTATCACTCCATGATGAGTTCAGGTTGTCTCCATCACTCCATGGTGAGTTCAGGTTGCTTCCATCACTCCATGGTGAGTTCAGGTTGCTTCCATCTCTCCATGGTGAGTTCAAGTTTATTTCATCACTCCATGGTGAGTTTAGGTTGCTTCTATCACTCCATGATGAGTTCAGGTTGGTTGCTTCCATCACTCCATGGTGAGTTCAGGTTGCTTTCATCATTTTGTGGAGAGTTCAGGTCGCTTCCATCACTCTGTGGTGATTTCAGGTTGCGTCCATCACTCCATGGTGAGTTCACGTTGCTTCCATCTCTCCATGGTGAGGTCAGGTTGCTTTCATCACTCAATGGTGCATTCAGGTTGCTTCCATCACTCCATGGTGAGTTCAGATTGCTTCTATCACTCCATGGTAAGTTCAGTTTGCTTCTATCACTCCATGGTGAGTACCAGTTGCTTCCATCACTCCATGGTGAGTTCAGGTTGCTTACGTCACTCCATGGTGAGTTCAGGGTGCTTCTATCACTTCATGTTTCATTCATGTTGCTTCTATCACTTCATGTTTCATTCATGTTGCTTCCATCACTCCATGGTGAGTTCAGGTTGTTTCCATTACTCCATTATGAGTTCAGTTTTTCTTCCATCTGGATGCAGGTTTCCGCTGCCCAGATGTAGGACAAACAGACTGAAAAACTCCTTCATCCCTGTATTGATCAGGCGTCTCAAAGAACAATGATTTCTATACCGTTGTTTTAATGTCTTAAAGTCTTGTCTAGTATGGCTGTTTTGTGTGCCTACTGACTGTGACACAAACTGCCCCTTGGGGATAATAAAAATTCTTGAACTTGATCATTATCAGAGAAATCCAACTTTCCTTTCGCAATATTTTGTATGTGTTAAAAGTCTGCTTCTGAGATTCCATCAGGAGGTTGGCTTGAAACACAGCAATGAAGGCTACTTATGGGACAGATCTAGATGGTAGGCCGCAGACTGATGAAGTCTTCAGGATGGAATACAAAATGTTTCTCCCTTAAAAAAACCGGTCCAAATTACATGATTTAACCTTTTTTGTTGTTATCTATCTGGATGATTTAGCTTACAACCTTTATTCCCCAACCTTAAAAACATTCTGTCACCTAAATGTAATAAATAAAGTTTTGGTATTGAACGCTTTTTGAATAAATAAAGTTGAAGTTTCAAACTAAATGCAACATGATGTCAGATTTCCTAAATGGGCTGCTTAATTGAACAATGCTAAAAGAAGAGATGTGTATAAGTGTGTGAGGTCATCACTAACCTGAGCACCTGAACTTCTTGCCTTTGACCTGGCTGATCCGTTTGTTAGCCAGCCTTCTGGGGTGGCTGCAGCGAGCCCCACTTGTCTCTATGGGGTTGTCAAACAGGAAATCAGCCAGCCACTTCAGGTGACAGTCACATATGAAGGGGTTTTGAGCCAGATGGCTGACACAAGAAGGGAGAGAGGAATTTAAAGTTTAAGAAAATGACAGGAATGTAGTCATGACATTTATCTGTGTTTCAGAAAAAAATATAACGTCAAAATTAAAGTGAAAAATATGCCCTGTTAAGCTGTTAAAGCATTGTTCTTTTAAATACTTCACCTTCACTTCACCAATTGCTCTTGCCAAGATCGAACACTTCTCCCATCCCCTCCCTCTCCGCTTTGCTTTGCTGCTCTGTCTGTCTGTGAAACTGTTTCTGAGCCTCTCTTGCATATCTTCCAAACCATAATTATGGACTTATTTTGATCAGTTGGTCCCTCAACTCAATTTACAACATTTCTTGAAGAGGAGACAGGCTTTAGGCAAGCAGATTTGCCCTGTTGGCATGTACGTAGCTGGATATCTCATCGACTGGAAGACTTGATGATGTGTCTATCTCTGCTGCCATTTGTGGATTTTAAGGATGCATATTTAATTGTATTTACGATAACTGGTTCCTGCTTTTTGGATTAGGCTAGTTGCTGGTTTTATCTACAATCAAGGAAGTCATCGGCAGCAAACTTGGACCCGATCACACTGCTTGCCTTTATGATGGCTTGGCTCGTGTCTCGAGTACCCAGACTCAAATGCTTTGGGCAGAATGAATCAGATCTCGGAGATTTTACTCATTCATGTTCCATTGGTGTGGCCATGTAATTTGGATATTTTGGAACAGAGTGGACCAACACAGACTCAAAGTAGATGCAATTAAGTTCTGCCTGTCCCCAAATCTGAAGGCCATCTTATCCGAATTCGTTTGGAGAACATGTGATCTGACGCTCACTACTCCCTCACTGAGGAACTTCCGACTGACAACCGGATGAAAGCAGCTGAATATATTTTGTGTCATCATTTCAGGACTCTTGGATTCTCATAGTCGTTATTCTTGGCCATTCCTCGACATACCTCGAGAATGTTTATGGCTCTCACCGGAGGACACTGGCTGATTATTCCATCTTTATCAAAACTCTTACAGTGCCCTCGAGAACATCTATGATCATGCTCACCGCTCTCATTGTCCCCTTCTGCAGAATATCTACGTCACTATGTGTTTGTTTGTGCAAGGTGTTTTTTTAATATTGGAGTTTTTTTCTTCTCAGGCAGGAACAAAAAAGTCTGATAGGAATTTTTTCGCCTCCAATTCCTACATGTGTCCGGTTTCACCACTTTTTGTCTGTCTAAACAGATCTCACTTGTAAATGAATCTTCTAGGCTCAATGTGACTTATCTGTCTAAATAAAGGTTGAATGAATAAAAAAAAACAGCTGTGAGCTGATAAACCTGTACAAAAAAGAATTTATTGATCAAGCAGAGAAAAAAGAAAGTCATTTTGTGTGCAAGTTTCATCCAGGATTATGTTTAGACTCCAGTGTGCTGAGAAGAACTAATGACTATTTTTGTAATAGATTTTTTAATAACTTTGATTTTAAAACCTAAAAATGAATATGATGCCACATTTGACATTTCCAAAATGTCCATAAGATGTCTGGAGTTAGCTTCTTCTGGCAAAACTAACAAAATGTAAAAAGGTTCCTGCTGTATGTGACCCTGGATAGGTGTCATGGATCCGTCTGTCCATCCGTCCATCCATCCATCCATCCATCCGTCCATCCATCCATCCATCCATATCTGCTTCTTCCTTTTTGGGTCACTGGAGTCCATGTCCAACAGACACTGTGAGAGAGGCGGGAGACACCTGGACAGGTTTCCAGTCCATCATCTCCAGGCCATCACAGAGACACCTGTACAAGTCTCCAGTCCATCACAGAGACAACTGGACAAGTCTCCATTCCATCACAGGGACACCTGGATAGGTCTCCAGTCCATCACAAAGACACCATGGACATGTCTCCAGTCCATCACAGGGACACATGGACAGGTCTCCAGTCCATCACAGAGATCACCCTGGAGAGGTCTCCAGTCCATCACAGAGACCACCCTGGACAGATCTCCAGTCTATCACAAAGACCACCCTGGACAGGTCTCCAGTCCATCACAGGGACACCTGAACTGGTCTCCAGTCCATCACAGAGACCACCAAGGACAGATGTCCAGTCCATCACAGAGACCACCCTGGACAGGTCTCCAGTCAATCACAGAGACACCCAGACAGGTCTCCAGTCCATCACAGGGACACCTGGACTGGTCTCCTGTCCATCACAGGGACACCCAGACAGGTCTCAGTCCATCACAGAGACCACCCTGGACAGGTCTCCAGTCTATCACAGGGACACCTGGACAGGTCTCCTGTCCATCACGGTGACCACCCTGGACAGGTCTCCTGTCCATCACAGGGACACCTTGGGACAATTTAGAGTTACCATTCAGACTAACGTGCATGTTTTTGGTCTGTGGGAGGAAACTGGAGTACCTGGAGAAAACCCATGTAGCACGGACAGAACATGCAAACTTGACACAGAAAGGTCCTCAGCCAGGATTTGACCGAGGCAACCTGCTCTCTGAGAGGCAACAGCTCTTCCAACTGTGCCACCGTGTTGCCCGAAACATTACATGTATTAAATAAAGCAGATCTTTAGAACATATTTGTGTAGAATCAGGATAAAAAAAACAACAGAAGTCCAAGTACAAAAAATGAGGTCCTCTCCCTGCACTGTTCCTTTGCAAAGCTAAGGTCAGTTCAGCAACACCTTCACACCAGAGAGGGTCTGTAGTTTAATCCCACCAGAATAATTTTCCTCATAATCTGCATACATCTGAACATGACTGCAAAACTGAAGACAGCCAGGTCCATGGATTAGCTTGAGCTCAGGAAGATGCTCTTTCAGGCATGTACTTACAGTGTCTTGATGGAGCGCAGAGGACTGAAGAGACCATTACTGATGGTTTGCAGTTTGTTGTCATATAAAGACAGCAGGTTGAGGTTCTGCAGGTCTTGGAAGGTGTTCACTCTCAGACAGTTTATTTTGTTGGCATTCAGCAGTCTGGAACACACACAACTCTTCTCTTATTCTTTTGAATTTTGTTAATTTATTTCAAATAATAATGTGCTTAACAAAAAAACACAAATATCCATAGAGATTTATTTTTAAATATTTCCTTTCTGTAAATGTGCAAAACCACTTTCTTCCTTTTCTTTGCACTAATTCTTCCACCACCTAACCCCCCACCCCCCAACCCCACCCACCCATACACATGATTATGTTTCTGGCCTTGACACACACATCTGAAAATTGTGCTTTTACATGTTTTCACTTGTTTTATTTACTATTATTTTTCCATTCTTCTCAGGCAGAGATAATATCTTCAGTTATATGTGTGAGTGCCATTTTGGCTGTAGGTGAGGAATGAGAGAAAGGGGGATGAGAAGAGAAAGAAGAATGGACATGGAGACAAAAAATGAAGTGAGACAGTCAGGGGACAGGTGGACATTTAATTTGGAGGGACACAGGTGAGCACGATGGCGCAACTGGTAGAGCTGCTGCCTCTCAGCGAGCAGGTCCCTGGTTCAAACCCCGGTCCAGGGGCCTTTCTGGGTGGAGTTTGCATGTTCTCTCCGTGCATGCGTGGGTTTTCTCCGGGTACTCCGGTTTCCTCCCACAGACCAAAAACATGCATGTTAGGCTGATTGGTAACTAAATTGTCCCTAGGTGTGAGTGAGAGAGTGAATGGTTGTTTGTCTCGTTTGTCTCTATGTGTCCCTGTGATGGACTTGCGACCCGTCCAGGGTGTCCCCCGCCCCTCGCACAGTGATTGCTGGACATGGGCACCAGCGACCCCTGTGACCCAAAATGGAATAAGCGGGTAAAGAAAATGGATGGATGGATAGATGGGACACAGGTGTTCATTTAAATGAAGGAGACTGAAAGGTAAGATGTGGGGATTGTCAGTGGGAAACAAGAATTGTGATGGAGGGATGAAAAACATGAAAAGAAAAGTTTCCACCTGCTCCACCTTTCTGTTCTCTCATACCTTGTTAGCTAATGTAACCGACTTGACAGGTTTTCCCTGCAATGGTACAATGTCCCTTTTCTTGCTCATTTACCGTGACATTTTCAACATTTTTATCATTGTAGTGAGATAGGTCGGTTAGCTTCGTTTAGCTTCGGAGCTCCACTACACGTTATAATATCTGGACTAGTTCAAGTACCTGATATTATACTTAATTTAAACGGGTTCTCTCTTTTTCGAGCTACTTGACAGATATGTGACAGAGATACTGTGGGGGAGATGGTTTAATCAGGGACGTGAGACGTTAATTTTCTTTGACCCATCAAAATGAATGTGGTCATTTATTAACAGAATCAAAATTGAACATCAAACATTTTACACGTGATTATTCTGATTGTACGCAATAACACAGCTTAATTAACTAGCTTTACAATGAGAACCATACGGCCATGGTATCTCACTTGCAACTAATTACAACAGACATTTATGAAAATATCTGGATGATTTACTGGCAAGATAGAAGAGTTTTAAAGATGGGAAATGAGGGAGTTTAAATGGAGAGAAAAGATGTGTGAGGGAAAATGTGTCGACGAAGAACGGCACCCTCCATTCGAACCCAGCTCTACCTCGGTACACTTCAGTAGTGGAAACTCGTTACCTTGTAGAAGATGTCTCCACTGGTATGGAGTTCCATCTAACGCTACCTTTCCAGCGTCTCCGTAGGATAGCAGAGAACCGTCCGGAGTAGTGACGGTACTTCGTTCAACAGCACGCTCACCTCACGGGTGGACTCACATGAGCTGTGAGTCCGTCAGAGGTTCCACTCAGATGTGGAAGATATCATAATCCCCACGAGACTCGGAAGAACTTCGGATCATGTCTGGAACTTCTTGTTCTCTCCAGCAACTTTTCTGTTCGGTTCTGCTCTCCGAACTGAACTGCTTGGAACTAGGAAGTGTCGACATTTAAAGAGTTCTGTTTCCGGTTCATTTGGGAAGTCCTGATTGGCTGAAAGAGCCAATCAGGGGTGTGGTTTTAGTGACGTAAGAGGTCACTAGAAGTCAGAAAAACAGTGAGATGTTTTGGAACAGACAGAAAAATGTTTTTGAAACAGACAGAGAAATGTTTAGGCGAGATGACAGAAAGCAGGTGCCAGCTCCTCCGTTTCTGTCTGAGAGGATTTAAAAACATGACAGTTCGTTCCAATAAACTTGTTTGCGACTGTCTCCGACCTTTGACCGACATCACAACTTGCTCATTTCAGACAGAAGATCAAGAAAATGAATAATTACTCTGTAACAGACATTAACTTGATTTCTACTTTGAATGAGGATTAAAAATCATTAATACTGTTTCACAGTTGATTTAAAATGAGTAGTTCACTTCAACATTTAAAAATGATTTGAACTAAACACACTTTGATTATCAAGATATT